ATGAGGACTTGGGATGAGAACTTGTGACGTCTCAGAGATCGTGCTGTAAACCAAACCTTCCCTGAAGCCGCCTGCTCTGGGAGTGAATCCTCAGTCTTAGCAAGGACGAGGTCTCCCTGAATCTCCGCATTCACTGGGCCTTTGATATGCCGTTGCACGGCCTGGGTCCTCACCGCCCCTTCCCCAGGCTGCTCTGGAACACAGACATTCCTTGATGAAATGAAAGAAGGACCCTGAGATCATCAGCCACTTGCAGACAAGGAACCAAAGTTCTCAGGGCTTAACTGACTTTCCCTAGAGCACAGTAACAGGCCCCAAACTTGACCTCAGCAGCACTTCCTCTGGCAGAGCCTGGGAGACAGAGCTAGACCAGGGATCCTCTAGGGTCAGACTAGGAGAAAGAAGGCTTGGTGCAGAATGGAAATCCATACACCATTGCGGAGGCTGAGGCAGGAGGATCACAAGTTCAAGCCCAGATGAGCAACTTAGTGACTTAGCAAGATGGTCCCAAAATTAAAAAACAGAAAATTGAAAGGGCTGGGAACATAGCTCAGTATGAAGGCCCTAGGTTTAATATTCCCAGTACTACAAAAAAGAAAGAAAAGAAAAATATTTTAAACTATTTCCACTACACCTGATGCATGGGCCATGCTATGTTTTTTCTTGTACTTGGGATGGAAACCAGGACATACACACTGAGCCACATCCCCAGCCCTTTCTGTGCCTTATTTTGAGATAGGGTCTTACTAAGTTTCCCAGGCTGGGCTCTGACCTGCAATCCCCTGCCTCCCAGAGCCCTGGGATTACTGGCGTGCACCACCAAACCAGCTGACCTTCTTTATTAGTGACACTGGTGGGTCCTGGTGATCTCGAGTCCCACCATGCAGATCTCAGCTCCACCTGTCTCTCATTGCAGACGCACTCCGTGCCCCCGCCAGCCGGTCCGGATGGAGTCCCAGAGCACCCCCGAGACCACTACCTACTTTGATTATGACCCCCGGAGCTTCCTGTGTGAGAACGAGGCCCTCACGCTCGCCACCTTCACCACCACCGTCCTGTACCCTCTGGTGCTGCTGCTCAGCCTGGTGGGCAACAGCCTGGTGCTGTGGGTGCTGGTGAAGTTCGAGAGCCTCGAGTCCCTCACCAACCTCTTCATCCTCAACCTGTGCCTCTCGGACCTGGTGTTCTCCTGCCTGCTGCCCGTGTGGGTGTC